GTTGCAGGAAAATATGGGTGATTTTCGCCTTTTTCCTGCTTTCAGATGTGAACTGAAACACCAGGGACTTGAGCCTGCTGGCCCTCAGGTGAAAACGACACCATCAGCTCTCCTGGGTCTTCAGTTTGCTGATTCACCCTTCAGATCTTGTATTCATGTGAGCCAACTCCTTATAATAATGGTTCCATTTCTCTGGAGGACCCTGACTAATACACAGACTCTCTTGGTTTTTCTCCTGCTCCACTAGCTACTCTTTGGCCAGCTCCTCTTCAGCCCCATCTCTAATGTGATCGAGTTCTGGGGCTAGTCTAGGCCCCCTTCTCTAAGATATCTGTGTAACAACCCCCACCAGCATTCTAAGGCAGCGCCTGTGTCTTTAAATAGCATTTATGTGTCAGTGATTCCCAAATCTGTGTCGCCAACCCTGGTTTCTCCACTCAACTTTAAAGTCTTGTATTTGTACTTGTCACCTTCAACTGGACGTTTCATAGGCATCTCATTTGGCCATAGAGCATGGCCAAACCTGAACTTTCAATTCTCTCCCCAAATCTACATTTGTTGTATCACAAATCAGTGCGCTGGACAAGATGCCTAATGATTCAATTGGTTAGGAGTTATCTCTATTGCGTGCAGGTTCAGAGCAGATTACTTCTGTCAAATTCTGAACAAACACAAGTAGGAGTATTTCTTTTTATATTCTTCTAGTTCTTTCTGTAAGACTGCTTGTAACCTTGAGTATATATATATACCTAACAAACACCCGTCGTATCTATACAGACAACTTTAACTTTGAGTACATATCATATCTATATAGACACCTCTTACCTTGGATGAATAAACACTTGGCAGAATATGGTAATTATTATTAGTATCAGTGTATCAGCCCCTTTAGATGGCTAGCTTGCAAGGTCAGACAGTTAAGTTTATCTTTTCTACTATTCAAGCGAAAAACAAAGTTATTTTACAGTCTAAAAATAACAGAGGTGAGTTCCAGGAGTTTTAACAACAATAAATAAATAAATAAATTAATTAATTAATTAATAACAGAGGTGACCTACAGAATAAGAGATCAAGAATAACAGAGTAGTTCAAACAACAGTTTCTTTCTTTTTTATATATATATATTTTTATTGATTTTGTACAGAGAGGAAGGGAGAGAGATAGTTAGAAACATCGATGAGAGAGAGTCATCGATCAGCTGCCTCTTACACACACCCCTACTGGGGATATGCCCACAACCAAGGTACATGCCCTTGACCGGAATCGAACCCGGGACCTTTCAGTCCCCAAGCCGACGCTCTATCCATTGAGCCAAACCGGTTTCGGCCAAACAGCAGTTTCTAACGGCAGTTTTTCCAAAGGAGGGATTACTATGCTTCACATTTTCGTGAACAAACTCTAACTATAGTCAACATATGGATGGACCTAAACGGTGACTTAAAGAAACCAGGCACAGAACAGTGTGTACGGTAATTGTTCCATTTTTATAACGTACAAACAAGAATGCTACTCTAGACTGACTATGTGCTCTTTGTCAGGATGACAGAAAAGCCCTGTGTGGAAGGATGCTGGTTATGGTATTGTTGTTTGTTTTTTGTTTGTTTGTTTTTGTTTTTATTGCATTGTTGGTGTGATGTGTTTGTGAAACTTAGCAGGCTGTTCACTTATGGTTTGTGTACTTCACCTACGCCATAGGTGAAGACACTAATGCATAGCACCCACTGCCAGAGCCACCAGGGAGTGAGGCCGCAGAAGGATTTGACATTTGAGAGACTTGAGAAGGATTTGAGAGACACGATCAGCTTTGCATTAGGAAGATTAATTCTTGGCTTTGTGCACGACTATGAGAGGAATTAAGGGCCCTTTCTAGGAGTGGTCTGGGCAAGCAGTTGTGAAGGCCTGAATCCAAGCAGAGCAAGAGAAATGGGAAGGACAGGCTATAGCTGATATGTAGAGAGAAAAGCCAGAATTTGGGGCAGGTCACTAAATTCCCTTCTTCTGGTTTCTTCGCTTGAAAAAACTATCAACAGCCAGGACTGGTTTGGCTCAATGGATAGAGCGTCGGCTTGGGGACTGAAGGGCCCCGGGTTCGATTCCGGTCAAGGGCATGTACCTTGGTTGCAGGCATATCCCCAGTAGGGGGTGTGCAAGAGGCAGCTGATCGATGACTCTCTCTCATTGATGTTTCTAGCTCTCTATCTCTCTCCCTTCCTCTTTGTACAAAAATCAATAAAATATATTTTTAAAAAAAGAAAAAAACTATTAACAGTGCCCACTTCATTGATGATTATTTTGATGACTTAATGAGGCACAGGGGAGTTAGTGAAGTTAAAAAAAAACATCAACAACAGTTCTCACTGCATACTATGCTGAGCAAGACAGAAGGTGTTGAGATTAGAAAGCTTAAAGAGAAATATCTTAATTTGGCAAGGTCCCTACAAAATGGAATTTTTGGACTGGAACCCAGATTCTTTGTCTGCCTGAACTAAAGAATGAATCCACAGACAGAAAGTGGCGTAGAAAAGGTGGAAATTTATTTAAGAATTAGAGGCCCCGTGCACAAATTTTTTTTCTTTATGGCTTATAAAGGCTGCAGGTCCTGGTGCCTTGCTATCCCCTCTGATTGGTCACTATTCCCTTAGACTGGTTACTATAGTAACTCCTGGGTTCAAAGATCAAACCTCACCTGGGACATGTGAGGTTCTTTCCTATTCCTTCCTTATTGTTTTTCCTTTTCCCTTGGGGCTTCCTTCTCTTTATTTTATAAACATAGACCTTTTGCTGTTCCTAGCTCCCTCATTCTATGGAAATGTACCTGTTGCAGCTTTTCAGCTTCCCTATTTTAGGGAAATACTCCTACTGCTGTTCTGAAGCCCTGTGCTTCCTTCATGGTCCCCTTAATTTCCAAAATTTCTAAAATTTCCTAAACTTGTCCTATTTTACCTCTAAACTTCCTGTTTCTCCTAGAAGCTTCCGCATCGTGGACTGTGGACTGCGTCAGTGTAGGGCACTGGGTGGGAGGCCCAGAGTAGGAATGACAGTCCTGTCTGTAGCTTAGGACTCATTCCCTGCAGGGGTCCCAGCTCTCTCTTCTCCCCACCCTCTTAGCGGGGATGTGCGGCCACGCGAGCTTCCCCGTGTTGAACCAATCAGGTGCGCTCATCCAGTGATGGGCAGGCGGGGTCTCCCAGGGTTCTCCAGGCTGCAGGGGAGGGTGCAGGTCTCCCTCAGGCCCTGGGTCACTGGGTCGGCTGCTAGAGGAAGTTCCCTACATTGGTTGCCTGGACACCTGGAGGCCTCCACCGATTCCTGACCTTGACCTATTCTGACCCTGACCGGAGGGGCGTTGAGGGGCGATGAGGCGGCCTGGGAGTTTGAGGATGCACAGGAAGGAGCTCCCTTTCTCAGAAGCCCTGACCCGGCGGAGCTGGAGGCCAAGGTGGGGTGTGGCCGGGCGGCCAGCTCTGAGCCCGACTTTCCCCTACCTGCCTTCGTTTCTGGCTTTCCCTCACTCACCTGTCTTTGCTAACGGTGCGGAGGTTTCGGCAGAGCGGCTCTGCTGCCATTAGCAGAAGGAACCTGTGTCCTAACGCAGGACCTGATTAGGCCCTGACAGATTCTAATGCTCACGCGGCTTGTGTTGAAGGGTTTGCAACCTTGAATAGGATATTTAAATTAAAAATAGTGGGGGAACTTGTTCTATAGTTAACACACTTCCTAATGCACGCAGTGTGCAGTGTGACAGGCTGCATAGAGGGATTGCCTGCCTTACTTCAATGGTCAACTCCTGTGGTCCCAGCCCGTTTCTAGAGGATTAGTTATTACCGGTTAATAATGCAGATTATTATCAGTTAATGATGTGTATTTAAGTCTTACAACCCCCTCTCCCCCCCAAAAAAATATGGAGATGATAAAAGGTATTTTAAAATATTTCTTTTCTTGATTTTAGAGAAAAGAAGAGGGAGAGAGAAACATCTATATGGGAGTGAACCACGGATGGGCCGTCTCCTGCACGCCCCCACCAGGAATGGATCCCACAACCCAGCATGCGCCCTGACTGGGAATCTAACCGGCAACCTTTCAGTGCGCAGGCAACCAACCAAGCCACACCGGCCAGGGCGATAACAAAATGTATCTTGAGGATTAAATTTGTTTACAGATGGTAAAGTCTTGAAACAGTAATCAAACTTTTCTTGTTAGCGTATCCAGTTGTATCCCACTTGTTTGACCATTTGAGTGTCTCTAGGGAAAGGCATAGCGGCCCACTCTGGCTGATTGCAGCCTACTCATCTACACTCAGACAGTGAACAGAGCCTGAGGCAGGGAGGCTGGCCCTCTAAGGTAGGGGTGTCGAACTCAATCAGAGAAGGGGCCAAAATCTAAAATCCAGCCTAAATCGCGGGCCGAATGGTTTACTGAACAGTCATAAACTGTCATTGTGATGGAAACGCAGCAGAGTGCAGTGATGACAGCGCGGTGCGGGCCACATTGCAAGGCCTGGCAGGACGGATTTGGCCCTCGGGCCTTGTGTTTGACACATGTGCTAAGGCCTAGGAGGGGCCAGGGTGCACTTGTTGAAAGGAACTTGGCCCTTGCCAAAACCGGTTTGGCTCAGTGGATAGAGCTTGGGTCTGCGGACGGAAAGGTCGTGGGCTCAATTCCGGTCAAGGGCATGTACATTGGTTGCGGGCACATCCCCGATGGGGGTTGTGCAGGAGGCAGCTGGTCGATGTTTCTCTCTCATCTGATGTTTCTAGCTCTCTGTCCCTCGCAATAAAATATGTGTGTGTGTTGTTTTTTAAATGAAAGGGACGTGGCCCGGTTTCCCTTTAGGCTAACGGCTCTGCAGGAAGCTCCAACCACACAATGGGCTGGTGGAACTGCAGGAAAGGACCTCTCTGGGTCGTAGCCCTGCCCTGGGGTGAGGCTGGGCATCCGCAGGAGAGAGGCACGTGGGCCTTAGAGAACTTGATCCCGGGGGGCCAAGGCCCGGGGGACTCCGGTTCCGGGAGGAGGCTCCGCGCAGGCTCGGCTCGCCCTCCCGCCTCCAAAGGGCACGGAGGCAGGGCGCGGGGCACCGTGGGCTCCAATGGCCGGTCTCGCCCCGCCCCGCCGGGCCTCCCGAGGATGGGGATTGGCTGCCCGGCGCCGCCTACGCCCCGCCCCGCCCCGCCCCGCGCTGCAGAACCGGCCTCCGCGGTGCGCGCCGTGCGCCGGCCTCCCAGTCCCGTGCAGCCGGCGGTGAGTGCGGTGAGTGCCCTCTGCTCCCGGTGCGGGCGGCAGGGCGGCCCCCCGTTGCCGGGTTGGGGTGGAGGAGGGTAGGGTGAGGTGGGGTGGGTTTGGCCGGGGTCTCGTCCCGGATCCCCTCAAGCTTTGCCCGCCCGGAGCCCCTCTGCTCCCGGCGGCCAGAACCGAGGGGTAGAGCAGCCCTTGGCGGCCCGGGGGGCGGGCGGCCGTGCCCGTCCCGGCGCCGCGCGAGGCACAAACACCGCACGGAGGCGCCTGGAGGGTCCCAGCGGGCGGGCCGGCGCGGTGACAGGTCTGCGCTTTGCTTCCCCAGGCGCAGCCGCCGCTACATTGTAGCGGGCGGGGGTCCCGGCCCACCTTGTCTGCGGGGGCGAGAGCGGGTCCCTGAGCGACCGTGGGCCCCGGGAGATTGTCTCCAGCGCCTGCGGACGCCCGGCCTGAGTACTAAGCGCAGGTATGTCCCTTTTTTGAAATGCAATGACCCAGGCCCGGAGCACGTGGCTAATGGCGACCAGAGGGTGCCGGGCGCCGGTTTGGCGCAAAGGCCAGAATCTCCCCGCCTGGCCTGAAGGGCATTTACCTTCGCGGCTCCGCGGGGCAGAACAGCTGCATCTGATGGAGTCGGATTGTTCAAGAAGCCGCCGCGATCTCGGGGTACTGGGGAGAGGCCTGCAGGAAGCCATAGGGAACCCTGTAGGGAAACTTCACGTCGCCCTTTCCAGTGCCCTTTTAAGGTTGACTGAGTGCCTTAAGAGGCTAACACAGAAGGGTACATGAAGCAAGTCTCCATAAAACCCAGAGAAGAGGTGGCAAAACTCCTCTCTGGATCCTGTCTGGAGTCACAGCTGAAACCAGGAAATTCCCTTTCGGTTTGAGCGCCTTTTGTTATTTTTACACAGCCATGAGCAGAGTGATCCATTTCATCTTAGCGGCCGGGATACTCTCAGGCCTGCTTTTAAAACTCTGGGGGTACCATCTAGTGTTTTCGAATAGATATGGGAATTTGGGTACTTTGGTTGTCTTTGAAGGCGGAAGAAATCCAGATGGTAGAACCTCATGTACACAAGGCTTTTTCTGAACATTTGAGACATATCTCAAAAGTTTTAACTGTTGAGTCATTCAGTAACTTTTTTTTTTATAGGTTAAAAACTACAGGTACGAGCCGTTGGTGCTGGAATGCTGTGATGCTGGTGTATTTTAACGGACTCCAAACCGACTTTCAGGCTAAGTACGCATAGCGAGGTCAGACATGGTTATATAAGTTGTAGCAGCCACGTGTCCACACGCAGTAGCTGGTGGTGAAAGAGCAGAGCAGCGGGCACCTCCTGGTTTTCATCTTTTCATTTAATTCTCACAACTATGTGAAGATAGAGCAACATTAAATCCCCCCACCAGTCCTTATAGGACTCTGGGCCACCCCTATATCCACCAGGGACACAAGTCTTAGGGATTGGAAGGAACACTAATCTGTATGGAAGGACCTCGCCCAGTTTTCTTACATGATAAAGTTCCAGGGAATGCCATTAGACCCACCATACTAGGGTCAAACCCTAGGTTCAGCCTGAGGACCCACCTCCTCTGGACCTGGCTTACACCTTTTTTGCCAAAACAAAACAACCCAGAATGCTTCTAATATTCCAGATAAGGCTCAGCAGTCTCTTGTATTATCTCCTAATTCCAATAGCGGCTTATCAATTACCCAACCTTACTGCCTTTACTTTACAATTCAATACCACCTGCTGAGGATCTAGAAAACCAGTATCTCTTTGGAACTGGGGGGCACTTACTGCTGAGCTAGTCCAAGGAGAGCCTCCCAAATCCTGGTATTGCTAAGGGAATCCCCTTAAGGGTGTAACCCAAGGGCAGTTGGGTCACTTATCTGTGATTCTCAAAACACCCTACTTTTGAATTCCCAAAGGGGAGCCCTATTGGAACAATTCATTTAAAAATCTCTAGAACCCCTCTAATTGACTCCCTAGCTGCAGCCATATTAGCAGCCTCGGGACTCCCAGAGGAAGGGGAAGCCATGCCTCTGGAGAAGGTATTCCTACGCTGACATCAATTCAAGGGCATTTCCTGGATTTGGGGGTCCTGTGCCTGTCGCTTTGTCTGAGAGATGAAGAGGCATCTGCTCTCTAGGCTACGTCATCCCTCTGTCAACATGATCATTCCATAGCCTGGGATAACTGCCCCCCTTTCCTTCACCTAAATGGATGAGCAGGGCTTCTCTTTCCCTCTGCCATCCACACCCACATCCCTGAGGGAACAGCAGGTACGGGGACCCAAAGCCCCACAATGACCCCAATCAGCTTGAAACAGCCAGAGCAGTCTTCACCCAGAAGGCCCCAAAGAATTGGGTTCCCATAACTTAGGAGGGGGTGAGAATGTTAGGTAGGAACGTAGACATGAGTGGCCTGCAGTTCTGACTAACATTGCCTTGGTCCACCTCTCTGGGCAGCCTGCAGTCAGCCGTCCCTGAGGCCGACCACTGGTGGGCAAATTCTGATAACCAGATCTTGGTGCAGGTCCAAAGGTTAGGTAGTGCTCGAGCCCCCATCACCAATGTGGAGCCCTGAACAGGAAACCTTATATGCAACTTTTTTGCTACATGACCTGGAAATTCATTTTCTTGAGATTCAGTGTAACACATTGAAACAGATTAGACCAGCTGGGGAAGGGTGTGTGTACCACTGTGCAGCTATTGAGAAGTAGCTCTTCGCAGCATTTACATTGAATCTACATAAGCTCCGAAATTTGGTTCAAATGGGGCATATGTCAGCATTTTTAAAAATGAATGTGGCATAATATAAGAAGGGATATAACAGACAGTGGTGCTAAACAGAACAGGAAAGTACTGTTGGTGATGGGAAAGTTGTCACAAGGGAAGAAATGTGACTGCAACATGTGTGCTAGAAGTCCTTTCTGGTGCCAGCTTAATGCCAAACTCTGTTCTTGAAATCTCTAATAAAAGGCATATAATGTTCACTTTGGAGTCCGTGCTTTATTTCATAATGCCCGTTTTTCTAAATTTCATTTTGATTTCTCCATGTTTATAAAATCCAGCATTATATTTGTAATTTATTGTTTATTCATTGCTTATACCCTATTTTAGTTATACCCTATTTTAGAAGGTTAAGTTTTGCTGAGCTGCCCAACAGTCAATGCAAAAATCAGAAATGGAAATGAGACACCCAAAAGAAAAGTCATTTTGAAATTTCCTTTGGATCTTCATTTTAAACTTCCACATGTCCATGCAGAATACTTCTTAGCCAAGGTGATTTAGCATGCTTAAGTCCTAATTTCAGTTATGTGGCAAGAGGCTTATCAGTATGGACATGTGACAACGGGGAGAAAATGGTTCTGGTTATGAAGCAGACTGGCCGTGCTTGACTGTAATGCTGAACCTGACTGCACACAGATGGTATGCTCCAATGATTGAGGAGGGAAAGATGAACATTGAGCTCAGTGCCTTTTTACTCTGTCCACTATAACACTTGCCCTTTAATCTACCATAACACCAGCTACAACAAATTTTTGGAATTAAGATAATCAAGAAACCTTAAACTTCTTTATTCTTAGGACTTAGGGAAATTACCAAGTATGCATGAAGATAAAATTCAATAAGGCCCTGTGTGTGTATCTTTCATTTACTATCAACCAAAAACATTTATTTTGAATACGTGTTCCATCCAACTGCCATTAAGTATTAAAAAACACCAACAGCCAAAACTGGTTTGGCTCAGTGGATAGAGCATCGGCCTGCAGACTGAAAGGTCCCAGGTTTGATCCCAGTCAAGGGCATGTATCTTGGTTGTGGGCACATCCCCAATGGGCAGTGTGCAAGGAGGCAGCTGATCAATGATTCTCATCAATGTTTCTAACTCTATCCTACTCTCTTCCTCTGTAAAAAAATCAATAAAATTTATTTAAAACACACCAACATTTCGCCACTAAATGTCTCAGTCTTCATGTCAATAGAAAAGACAATCATACCTGGCAACAATATCAGGATGGCTAAGAAAATAATTTTAAATGGATACTCAGCTCCCATTATAAAAAATATATATTTTACAGTGTGAATCAGATTCAAGTAAAATAATATACTTTTATTGATTTCAGAGAGGAACGGAAAGGGAGAGAGAAACATGAATGATGAAAATTATTCATCTGCTGGCCTGCAACCTGGGCATGTGCCCTGACCGTTGGCCAGCCTGCTTTTAAACAGCATGATATTTTCAATGCCGAAGAAAACAAGAGTAGTACTAAGCAAGGCTGGGGTGTCATTCCTTTGCATGCCTGCAGAATATTTCATTGATTGGATATGCTGAATTTTATTTACTCAGTGGGTATTCCTTTGATTTTTTTTTTTTTTTTAAGAATATGTCTGTTGGCTGACTGCTTACTTCTGATGCTGTTTCATTTGTTTCTCTATTATCACAGACTTGAGAGGAAATTTCCCCCCTCCCCCCAATTCTTGAAAACTTGGTTGTCAAACTTGAGGGTGTAGAAGAATTACCTGGCACGCTTGCTAAGGATGCAGGATTTGAGGCTCCATCAGTGACGAGTTTGATGTAGTAGACTCAAGAGGAGGCCCAGGAATCTTTTCAACACATGAGTTAATGTTGATGTAGGTATTCCGAGATGAGTTTTGAGAAACTTTTAAAAAATAAAAATATATATATATATATTTTATTGACTTTTTACAGAGAGGAAAGGAGAGAGAGAGAGCTAGAAACGTCTATGAGAGAGAAACATCGACCAGCCGCCTCCTGCACACCCCTCACCGGGGATGTGCCCGCAACCAATGTACATGCCCCTGACCGGAATCGAACCTGGGACCCTTCAGTCCGCAGACCAACGCTCTACCACTGAGCCAAACCAGTTTCAGGAAGAAACTCTGTCTTTAAACGTGGATTTTTATTGGCACTTAACATTTTGTAGGAAAGCCAGACAAGCAGTGGGTAACCTGGCCATTGCCTGAGGCTTGTTAGGAATATTGCTTATAGGATTGCTGAAAGGGGCCTCAGGTAATGGGTGATGTCTTCTGGGTGGAGACAGACATTAGAAGGAATGATGGGTTGCCCTTATCTGGTAGCTCAGTTGGTTAGAGCATCGTCCGGAGATTTTGGGTTCGATTTTGGGTTCGATTCCATGTCAAGGGCACGTGCAAGAGTCAATGAATGCAACAAACCGATTTCTCTGGAATCAATAAATAAAAATGTTTAGCCGGGACTGGTTTGGCTCAATGGATAGAGCGTCGGCTTGGGGACTGAAGGGCCCCGGGTTCGATTCCGGTCAAGGGCATGTACCTTGGTTGCGGTCATATCCCCAGTGGGGGGTGTGCAAGAGGCAGCTGATCGATGACTCTCTCTCATTGATGTTTCTAACTCTCTCTCTCCCTTCCTCTCTGTACAAAAATCAATAAAATATATTTTTTAAAATAAATAAATAAATAAATAAATAAATAAATAAAATGTTTAAAAAGAAGGAATGATGGGCAAGAGAATTGTGTGGTGGAGGCTGCTTACTCACCCAGGAGTGAGTGAAGTAGTCAAAATGTAGCTTTAGAGGTAATGAAGCTAAGTAGCCTCCATGAATTGAATTACTGGACAGATAGATCTTTTACAGTATTGACCTCAGCGTTTACAAATGCACTCAGATTAATTTTAATTACAGTACTTTTGGGTTGGGGAAATCTTAATTCTTAACCTGAAGCCATTTTCTTTTAGGGGACCAAGAACAAAATTAAGTTGCAGATACTCGAAGAGAGCAATCCTTTTACTCTAGAAATATGCTACAACGAAAGTACAACCATTTTTGCTTCAACACTTTTTCATTATATTTTCCATTATCTAAATAGAGTACTTTACAACACCAAGAACTCCTGAGTAGAAAGAGTTGTTTTCCCTTAATTTAATGACAAGAATTTGCTTTCACTTAATAGATGAGTGATGCTTTTAAGGGTCTTTTAATGGTGTCAGAGCAGCCGGAGCAGCAAATGGAGTTCCATTTACTCTGTGTGGCTCATTAAGCCATTACAGAAGAGGGTAATGTGGCCGAAGGAAAAAAAACACCGCCAGTGCTTTTTCCGGCTTTGAGGGAGAAAAGGAAGATTTTAAGATATGAAAACAGTTTTGACGTTCAAATGCCTTTCCAATGGCGTTCATAGGGGAGCTGTCAGTGGAAGGGAATCTTGAATTCTTGAGAAGTAACCTCAACTTCTTGAACTCATTAGCCTGACTTGTAAGGGGTGAGTGCTTACAGCAACAGTGTATTTTAAAGAACATATTATTGGGTAAAATTTCAAGCATACGCCCAAATGAAGAGAAAACAAACTCCATGTACAGTATGGAGCTTCAGCAATTAGCAATAGCTTACCACCTCATTCATCTGACCACTTACCTTTATTTCTGATCATTTTCAAGGAAATTTCAGACGTTGTGTCATTTCACCTGTAAAAAGTTTTCGTTTGTATTTTTTTCATTTGTATTTCTAATTGAAAACATTTTAAGACCTAACTATATGTCATCATCACACCTAATATATTTTTTTTAATTTTTAGTGATTTTTTTTTTTTTGAGAGAGAGAGAGAGGGAGAGAAAACATCCATTTGCTGTTCCACTTATTTATGTATTCACTGGTTGCTACTGGTATGTGTCCAGATGAGATCAAATCCACAACGTTGGCGTATCAAGACGAACCGAACCAGGGTAACTATTAAATATATTTTTGTGTGATCATTCAAAACCTGGTCCATGTTCAGATTTTCCCGATGGTCTTCTAATCAGAATCCAAGCAAGATCTACACATAGTACTTGGTTATGTCTTTAAGCCTCACATTTTGTAGTAATCCTCCTTTACTATATCTGGACACTGATTTGTTGTAGAAATTGGGTGACTTGTCATGTAAAATGGCCCACATTTGTGTTTGTCTTTTTGCTT